CTAGCTTCGACGCGGTAGGCGGACACTGTCCCGAATTAAAGGTGTTCTGGCGGTATCGATTTCAACCCGCGTTTACCGCGGAGCTGAAAAGGAAAGCAGAAGACAAAGAAACCAGCGCAATCACGATCAACACGCTATAATTGCTCGGGATGATAATTACATGCTGGGTGGTCCAAATGGTTGTGGGAGAAAAGCCGACGCAACCCGGACAAGCTATCATGATGAGGGGAGACAACGTGTCGGCGGTATCATGGGTAAACAGATGCGGGGGCTCGAGAGATAGGCGAGCGGGACTGCTCATGAGACTGCTTGGTCGTATGGAGATTGAAAACGGATGGTGTCACGTGGCGAAACACATCCCGGGACGCGAGAATACCCTCGCGGACGGGATATCTAGATGGAAGTCAGAGGACGTAAAAGTCAACGTGGAAAGACTCACGCACGAAGATAACTGGCGAATGCAAGACATCGGAGACAACGGAAGGGAACTAATTGAAATTATACTGCAGGAGAAACTCCCGAACCAAAGAATGGATGGCCTCGTGTGGAGCCGCATGGCAAGCGTGTAAAGAGAAGAAGTGATGAGAGAATGATCAGCAAAAGAACTAAAAAAAAGGTGTGTTGACTCTAACGTGTTCAAGCGCAGGAAGCGAACACGGGACGAAGGGAACGAGCGATGAAGGCGAAAGGCTCCTCAGGATTATGGAGCACGGCTCCCTCAACGCGAGAACCTCGTGTTCTTCGAAGGAGCGTGTCGGCTAGCGTGGAACGAAAGAAGGCGGGTAGACAAGAGTAGAAGTGACCTTTCGTGCGTCGAAAGCGGACCAAAAGAGGCGAGGCGCGGTAGTAACGAGAGAGANGTCGCATGGCAAGCGTGTAAAGTGAAGAAGTGATGAGAGAATGATCAGCAAAAGAACTAAAAAAAAGGTGTGATGACTCTAACGTGTTCAAGCGCAGGAAGCGAACACGGGACGAAGGGAACGAGCGATGAAGGCGAAAGGCTCCTCAGGATTATGGAGCACGGCTCCCTCAACGCGAGAACCTCGTGTTCTTCGAAGGAGCGTGTCGGCTAGCGTGGAACGAAAGAAGGCGGGTAGACAAGAGTAGAAGTGACCTTTCGTGCGTCGAAAGCGGACCAAAAGAGGCGAGGCGCGGTAGTAACGAGAGAGAGAGTAGTGCGGGACGAGGAAGGGGGACAGATGGCTGAGAAGATGGGGGCGCTAGAGATCTTGCTGAATCTGCTTGACGTGCACCCAGAGGTAGGAAGTAGCGCGCCGCTCATGCAGTCGGTCAAGCAGGGACGGTGGGCAGTAGTGTCGAGGTCGGAAGCAAAGACAGTGCTGAGAGACATGGCGAGAAGAGTAGGAGAAGACCCAACGCACTTCGCGCTGCATTCAGGGAGGATAGGTGGTGCGACGCAACTAGCAAAGCAGGGCGCATCGGGTGTTTGTTCAGATTCAGAGGGCGGGGAGGTGGAAGTCAGGAGCCTTTATGACGTACGTGAGGGCAGGAGGCGAAGGCGCTTATTATGTATCGCGTGCACTAGCGTCTAGTTGAAGGGGAGAAGTAGCGTGGACAAGAGCGCCGAGTATCGAGTATCGGGCCGCGCAATGGGATATGACCTGCGCATAGACGTCGGGTTGGCCCGATAAGTGAGTCCGAGAAGAAGTCAATGGTTCGGCTCATAGGTTGGATTTTGGTTTTGATATTTTTTGGTTTCGGCGTTTCTGATTTCTTGTCGGCTTTTCAAATTTCTTGAGCAAAACACAAAACGAAGGATTCGGTATAACCGTGAATCCGTGGTTTGTGGAAGCGTTCCGGAAATTTCGTGAAAGAGCGGCGAGAGGCAAAAAAGGGTACACGGGGGAATAGCTATATACAGGGTGAAAAGAAGAGAGAGATAGAGTGGCAGAAGCTTTTGGGATCCTTGGGAAGCCGAGGACCTCGAAGGGAAAAGCGTTGCATCGCCCGCGNAAGGATTCGGTACAACCGTGAATCCGTGGTTTGTGGAAGCGTTCCGGAAATTTCGTGAAAGAGCGGCGAGAGGCAAAAAAGGGTACACGGGGGAATAGCTATATACAGGGTGAAAAGAAGAGAGAGATAGAGTGGCAGAAGCTTTTGGGATCCTTGGGAAGCCGAGGACCTCGAAGGGAAAAGCGTTGCATCGCCCGCGAAGGCAGTGCAGCAAAGCAGCAGCGAGAGAATAGAGTTTTCGTTTGGGACCTGATCGAATTTTCCCACCCACCCACCCACCCTGTCGCTCAAGACAGGAGGGATCAATGTGAATAAAAAAATATGTCTTGTTCCAAATTTGTTTTCCAATTTGCGTTGATTTTTGCGTTTTCTCGTGAAGGGATATGACCTGGGCATAGACGTCGGGTTGGCCCGATAAGTGATACCTAGTGAGTCCGACAAAAAGTCAATGGTTCGGCTTATAGGTTGGATTTTGGTTTTGATATTTTTTGGTTTCGGCGTTTCTGATTTCTTGTCGTCTTTTCTAATAATCCCAATTTCTTGAGCAAAACACAAAGGGAGGGTGTTCGTGATAGTTGCTGCTGTGTGTGTCGACAGAGTGACGTAGAACAACTTGATCGGACAGTTTGCATTGCGGGACTGTTTGCGTTGAAGATCGTTGAGTAGCGACATATTATCAGAACAGCAAGGAACGTTTTTTGGGAATGTCCTTCGTGGATGGTGCATTTCCCCGAGTGTGTTTCTTGTGGATAGTGCATCAGTCAGTGGATTCATGGTATAACCTTATCATTGAGTCGCCACTAGTTGTGTTTCCGCGTCATCGGAATCACCTTTTGTCTCAATGGTGGTGTGGGGGGTCGAGTCGGGATATTCTTACAGCTCCTCTTTCCTTTGGATACACTTGTGAAGAGTCATATCTTTCGATTCATGATCGATCCTAAATCACCAGCTATTAGTAGCCTTAGGATTTGAGTATAGAATCTGTATAGATGATCTTCAGGGTGGGCTAGTGTTAAGGAGTGTTGCTGTATAGCACAGATAGGGTACACAGTCGGTCTAGATTAAGATGGGGGACGTCAGGAGGTATACCCTCTTAGGACGTACCCCATCGGGACTTAGCTATCTGCGTGCCCCCAGGTTGAGGGCAATTCGCCTCACCTCAGACCTGTAGCAGACCCGCTTCTGCAATAACAAGCAACCTTCCCATCTCAACGTGCTCGTGGACAAAAGTGTCTACGGCAGAATCTACATCTACTACATCTAGGAGGCAAGCCACCGTCGGGCGGGCATTCCTTTAAAC